TGTGCATGATCATGTTCAGGTCAGACAGTCACCAAGGATGCAGTGCGTCCGACAGCAATACTGACGCCGTCGCCTGACAATGGGAGAAGTCCATTTTAACTTTTTAAGGTTTGCTACAGCTCAAAACCGCAGCAAAGCATCGATAGCGCGTTAAGCACATGAATGCTTACCTTGTGTTTCGAAAGCTAGAATCGGTTCGAAACTGAAAGTCGTGCAACGGTGAATGAAGATTAAAATGAGCACCACGTCATGTTTTGTGCGAAACAGTCCAGGAATTCACAGTTCTTCGCCGTCGCCAAGCTCATCCTTATACCTAAAACGACGTTTGGACAAACGTTTTTTTCGGCTTTTAGGACTTCTCATAAGGATTTTCTGAGGCCGGCGAATATTTTCCAAACCATAATGCTGAACAGAAACCGGATATATAAAGGGAGCATGTCTAGTCCAAGTAAGAATTTTTGACTGAGCACGTTGAATGGGAGCTAATTTTGATTTACAACTTTTGGTGCCGTTGGTTTCTACAATTCGTCCCACTGACGAGACATAGCACAGTCCCAATTTTTTTTCTCTCGTTTGTAGAAAGAACGAAATTATCGGGTATTCCTCAAGCAATATTCATTACTTAACACATTGACATCATTGAGCAGGTATCGTTAGTTCTAGCCAATGACTTTTTCGAGAATGTCGCTTGTCAGCGCTGACAGCTAGCTTGCGAACCCGGCGGTGGCGGCGGCCATTATGTTGATTTTTTTTCATTCAGCTGAGGACTGCGAGTGTACGGGCTTAGACGCAAGGTATAGCTGGTTAGTTAATACGCACCAATTCATGTCGGCCTACTATATACTAAGATGAGGAACAAGTATTCTGTCGCGTCAATCAGCTGCACTAGGGTCTGGGGAAATGTGGACTATTCTACGCACCTAACCACCCAAATGATGTCTACGTTACCCTAGCAACCCAAAATAATGGCCATGTATATAGCATACAGTTAATTGCCACTGTGTCAGTGCATTCTGTCCTTTCGTTCCCGCTGATTGGTTTATATTTTAGGATTGTGTTTGTTCACGTACAAACCATCGATGGATGGATATACATAAATGAATGAAAACTGCTGCGAGACCCAAGTGCACCCACTTAGCAACCAAATTAACCATAGATCATTGTCAAACTTCCCTTAGGCGTGTAAGGAGAAAAACGAAAACATTAGAACTCTCCGTTTCACAATAGCCAGACTTCATTCCCATGACTGAGAGACGAATCTATCCTCACAGGCAGTATTCGGGCGGACACGAAGAGATGGCGTGAATAATTTGATATTCGGCGATGCATCTTTTTTTCTGACACGTCCTCATGCGAGTGCCTTGCATGCAAACAACCGATGCCGGGTCACTGAATGCTTGGCAATTTTTACGTGCGTGTTTTGTCAAGCAAGTGTGTGTTGCCAAGCATTAACGTGCTCAAGATTGTTTGCAGATAAATTGTATATTTCCCTTTACGCATATGCAAACCCTTTGCCTAGGAGCTTTTGCCTCCCCCGTCAACGTTTTGCCATAACAAATACTTCTCAGGCGTTCCCTTAAGCCATACCAACATTTGCTTATGAGGTCTTTTGGTACTAGCCTTTTCGCACGTTATTTTACCAAACGCACTTTGCATCACGCGTATCACGCACATTTGTTGGGTGAGATTCCACAAGCCCTTTTTCCAAGCGCATGTTTGTCATAAAATCCTTGTCTTCGCGGTGATCGACAACAGGTTTTCAACGCTAGTGTCGCCTGCAACAGCAGCATACGACTGGCGGTCAGTGCCTGCTAGTTCGTACTGTTGCGGGCTTGATTCGAAACTACTGCAATTAGGGTGTGATTTCAACCTGGAGCTGAGCGGCACTGCTCTTTGTATAAATGCTGTTGAGCATGGGGACTCCCCTCATGCACAAGGGATGTTCCTTGCACGAACCAAGGAAGTGGCAGACGGGCCGCTCGCTGACGCCACACCGGCGACGCCGGCAGTCAACCTGTCCAGACCGCTTCCCATCGATGGCATCCCGCCGCGCTGACGCCGCCGGAACTTGCCCTCGCTTCTGCCAACGCTGACCACCCCGTGCCCTTCTGGTCGCAGGAGCGAGGGAAGTTGTCAAGAATGGGGGAGGGAGGGAGTCAGAGGCATTTGAGTCGTTTCTTTCCATGTACCGCCGCAAGCCTAGTGCTGAATTATCTCAGTGTTGGGAAGTGGACTCTATCCCCGAGGTTCCCCCCCCCCCACAATAACGCGATCGTTCCCTCGCCTATGCTTGGTCATATCGTCCCCGCCCCGGCGTCCCGGTTGTTATGCTGGCGGCTGGCGGCCGGGGGTTGTTGACCCGTCCCGTGCGGAGGGGTGGCTACCACCCCCCCCCGCCCCCACCCATCCCAGACAAATTGGCGCATGGGGAGGACGGCTCCTGGAAGTGTTTTTGTCAGCGTGCTGGGCGCATTGTGCAAGTGGGCGCAAGCGTGCATTGTGCAATATCATTTCCGTTTCGTGCATTGTGCTGTCGTGTGGCATGACTTTCTTTTATTGATTTGTTGTTTTTGATACGACCGGTCCACTCGCAGGGCAGCGCCATGTTGCTTGGAGGGCGAAAATCCCTCCAATATTGTGCATCCTTGGCCACTTAGTGACGTGGAAACCCCTCCGATAGTAAAGTGAACCTCAATTGAAAAAGTCGGTTCCAGTCATTGTGTACAGCGTCATATAAGGCTTATTTATGTATGGGTGAGAAGTCTCCCTCCCCTTATTGAAAAGGCTTTAGACGATGTCCTGGGCCTGCATGACTTTTTTTCTTGTGCAACAATACATTTGCGATATCTCTCGACTGTTTCTTCTGATGTACTTGCTTGCAATATGCGAACGATGCGTTATTGGTGTTTTCAGCTTGCGGCCCTTTTTGCGTATTTTCTCCGGCAGGATGAAGCTCGCTGTTGCGGATATTGATGGCGGCGGGATGGACATCAACTTCAGCCCTTCGTTAGCTGGGGGGGTGCCCTGCTGTTGAACTGATGAGCTGCTGCTGAGAACGCAGCTACTCTGCTCTGGATGGCTGTTTGAGGAGTGCTGCTGGCCGCCCGGAAGCATTATGTCTGCAGCAAGCTGGCACAGCAATCAGAGGCTTCTGTCAGTCATCTGGTGCTGCTCCAGAATCATCATTTTTAGGAAAGTAGGCATTGTATCACATGGGCTCGTAATGTTCCGTTCGTGCTTCACGAACAATTCTGCTAAAATCTACGGCGATGATTTCCTTGCCACGATTATTGGTAACCCAATACGATGGACATGGCAAAGACACAATCTTCTTTATTTCTCTGAGCACTTTCGCAGACAACAGGAGCAAACAAGTTTTCGAATTCTGTCATAAAAAATTCGTTGTGTGAGAATGTTCCAATATGCTGGTACCACCCTAGCACTCGCCGAGAGATGGCAGCACGATGATGTCGGTTAGACTTTAGTAGACTGCACATCGCCCAGCTGTGCGGGTCAGAATCGTGTGCGACCAAACCCACTGCAGTCGGCTGATTAGGAGTTACGAACATTAGGGGTTATGATACACTAGGTCTTACGATACATTAGGTGTTATGATATATTAGGAGTTGTGTTACATTAGAGGTTATGATCGTTAGGAATCACGATACGTTGGGTCTTACGACACGTTAGGTGTTATGATACGTTAGGTGTTATGATACATTAGGTGTTATGATACATTAGGGAACATGATATATTAGGAGTTGTGTTACATTAGAGGCTACGAGCATTAGGGATTACAATACGTTAGGCCTTATGACACATTGGGAGTTACGATGCATTAGGAGTTGCGATACAT